TAAACCTGCATGCCAGCCCAGTTTGGCTCAGCTTGCACCACATCATGTTGTATTTCCCATGGAAGCTGTGCCCGTGGATCCGGCTGGATCAGCCTCTCTCTCTCCCTGCACACAGCTCCGCTGGCCTCGCTGCTCCCAGCAGGATCCTCTGGCGTTGGGTTACTCCTGCTGCAGCACCAGCAGCCTCAGCCACCACGGACAGCAGAGCTGACACCCCCACACGAGCTCAGGAAGCATTTAACAGTCAGGAGGTGTCTGCCCCTGGGTACGAGGGATTCGGTTTCATCGGCCTCACACGGGAAAACTGAATAAGGAAAAATTAAGTTACTTCTGCTATCTGATAGAAAATGTAATGATTTCTACAGGGAATGCAAGTTTAGGGTCAACTGCTTTCAGAGATGAACATGCTGTTCGGGGAAAAAAAAAGGATTAATATATTAGATTTTCCTCACTGAAAGCACAAAAATTTTCCTGCCTCCTGTGCACTCACAGAGATCAGCAGAGGCTGTAAAACTCACCTGCAAATTGAGCAGTGCAAACCTTTCTTCCTAATTTTGTCTGAGTTTTACAAGCTGTCACTCAGTTGGGCAGCGTTAGTTTTTATTTGCTTCTTTCAAATTGCTTTTCTTTTTTTCCCGGGAAGAAAGCATTTATATTAATGGAATCCTTGAGCCTCAGCCCTTGGAAGGAGAGGCTGAAATGCGATCTCGAATTTGAGATCAGGACGCTCGGGGAGCTCTTCTCGGTCTTCAGACGAACACAACTTCAGCTCGTTCTGCCTTTGAGAGCAAAGCACAAAGGCAGAGGGGCAGATTTGCATTTCTTCCTTAAATTCAGCATCCGCTGGGAATTCCCGGGGGGAGAGGAACAGCAGTGCCCGTTATCTGCTGGGAGGGAAACGATGAGAAAAACAGCTACAAAAATACGTGTTCAATTACTACAGTTTTTAGAGGGTTTTTTGAACAACAGCATTATCCTAAAATCGGCTACATTTCTGTCGTTCTGTTCTTACTTTTAGGAAAGAAGAGTATTTTAAAGTATTTTTTAGTCTTTTATAGGAAAATATTAATACTTGAACAGCCAAAATATTTTGATGCAGAGCTCAGATTTGAGTGGTTTTAGACACTGAAGTCTTGAAAGCACAAACTCTTGTTTTCTCTTTGGGTCAAGTTCTGAAACTTGCTCTTTTAAAATCCCATGATGTTCTAATTACTCTATAAATTTCAGTATGTGATGTACCTACAGGTTGGCAGCAACAGTTGCCTATTCTTTACTCTGTTCTGGAGAAGGAAGGAAGAGCTTCCAAGTCCAGATCTGGGCTCAGATTCGAGAGCTCAGATGCAGATGAGGAAAATTCTGCCTTGGCTGGAGAAGGCACAGCTTCATCCACCTGAAAAATCCCCCAGGAGCAGAGACATGAGCAGATTTGCATGTATCACCCCCAGATTCAAGCTGGTGGGATGTTTTTACACCCAAAGCCCTATGGTGTCACCCAGTGGGATTTCTCCCTTCCCTGCCCTAGTTCTTGGAGTGTGTCTCATGAAGAAAGAGAATATGGACTCATTCTGCTCTCAACAGCTCCTGATGGCTCAGAGAGCAGAACCTGGACATGTTTCAGCCCCTCAGGTGCAATGAGTGTGGAAAGCTGTAAAGATGCTTCCACAGTGCTGGTGGTTAACAAGTATTTTGCAAATCTAAACCTTTCTGCAAATATTCTCAGTTCCTGATCACTTCTGGAGAGGTCAGTGGGAAGGAGGGAGTAAGGGCTGTGTGTTGTGGTCAGCAAAGGAGCTTCCAGTAAGAGACTGGAGACACAACACCTCTCTCTGCCCCAGCAAAGGCCATGTGTACTTTAGAAAAGGTGAGGAATAAAAGCTGGGATGCTCCAGGTGTCTCTGCCTGCCATCTGCTGAGTCCCCTGGGCACGGGGGCTGTGCCAGGCCCAGGCAGCCCCCAGGGACAGCACAGCTCAGAGTACAACAGCATCACCAACCCCAGCACTGCCTCCCTGCAGAGCTGTGCTGCTGCTCTCACAGGCACACACCACACCCTGGTGAAATATTCCCTGACTTCCTGGGGGAGTGAGGGCCTTAAAGCCTCTGTGTGTTACAAAGTGTGTCAGAGATCCTTAAACCTGAGCACAGCACTTCACTCTGCTCCAGAGTGTGACCACAGACACCACAGTCTGTGTTGTATCTGCATAGAGATGTTTGTTGTCACATATAAACCAAACATATATATGAATATCTTCAAGCAAACTTCATCCCTTAGGGATTTTTTCCCTTTTCTTTCTAATTTCTCCTTGAAATATTCCAATATCTGCCTCCGTGTTTCACGTTCATAACTTTCTGCTGGCAGACAGATCACGCCAGGAGGTTTTTCCTATTGCTTTATCAGCCCAGATTTTTGCTTGCACCTTTACACTGAAAAATAACCACAACCTGGCAAAAATAGACTGAGCAATCCTGTTCAGAACTCCCATGAACTGTCAGCCTCCCAGACTCCCATATTTTTGTTTCTAAGCCTTTCCCCATGGGTGGATTTGCTCCTCTATTGAAAGCAAATTGAATTATGGCATTGAGCTTTGAGAGATTTTACTCCTAGTTTCAGGTGTTTAGTTTCTATTGACGCTTTCACTGGGGAAAATTTAGCAAAAGACTATTTAAAGTTTAGCTGACAAATTTATTTGTAATCTTGAAGTATTTGATCATCAGAGAGAAAGCGAGAATATAAATAAAAGACACTGGACATTCACATAATCTACAGTTAATTCCATCGTTTTTACAGATAACAATATACATATTGTCTTGCCTTTCCTCACAATCAGCTTGCACTATATCCATGGAAATACACAAGTGCCTGGAACAGAGATGTGTCCCCAGGAAAGCAAGTGCTCACTCCTGACAGCTCCCAGCAGTGCCTGGAGAATGGCTTGGAGAACCCAACCCAACCCCTGCTGAGAGAACCCCCAGAAGGTATTTGGCAACAAGACATCAGGGTGATTTTTGAGACACTTTGCAGTAAAACTGTTGCAAAGAAATTTGAAGGAAAAGCATAAGATCCACAACCCAGAGCCGCTTAGTGTTCCTGGGTCAAGGAAATTCCCCTTCTTGACCTGGTGATAAACGTGGAGTTATTTGGTAATAAATACATCTAGTCACGGTTTAAATGGAAGAGGCAAACTAGCAAGCTACAAATTAAAAAAGATGAGAAGCAGAATTAACATATGGTTTTCATTTTACAAAGGAAAAGGGTTGGTGGGAAGTGATTGGCATATTAAAGAGCATCTCGTTTTAGAAAAGGGACTGTGAATTCCAAATGAACCAGAACATAACACATCAGTGCTTTAAAAACAGCTGCTGGAAGAACAGAGGAGTTTCCTACCATGGATTTCTGCAGTGATTCACTATGAACATTGCTCCTATAGAAATATAGACATGGTCACACCTTTCACCGTGGATGAGGACTTGATTTTCCCTTAGAAATGGGTCGGTGTGGATGGGTGATGAAGCAAGTCCTTCGTTTTGGAGAATGCACTGACAACAGAGAGTGAAATACCTCATAGAAATCTGTAAAGCACAAGTCTTGGTGTTTAGTAAAGACACAGTTTTTTTTGGACACTCTGGATGCTGTGGTGCCACTGCCTTTGCCCACCACCTCCGAAAACACATCCTCTCCCTCTGTGTCCTCACTCGTTCCTGCGCCGCTTGGCCCTCAAGGTTGTCCCTCCATCGTTTCCAAGTCTAAATGACCTTTAACAGCACTGAGTCCTTTCCCTTCCCACTGCACAGTGGTGGATCCTGTATCAAAATTGAGCATGGTCAACTTCATCCAGCCAGGAGGCAGGACTGGCAGGGAAATCTGGGTATCCCCCACTGCTGCCAGTGGAGAGGTCAGAGCTGGGTCCATTCCCAGCCAGGACCCTCATGGACTGGGGCACTCCTTGTCCACTTTGTCCCATGATGCCCAAGCCGTTGTCTGGGTAAACCAAGCTGGAGATTAAAGGCTGGTGGCCTGGCAGTGCTTGCAAGGAAGCTGGTGACTGGGGTATCCCGTAGGGGCTGTTGGATCGCAGGTCGTGGTACTGGTCCTGAGGTGGGAGACCAGTGTGATCCAGAGCAAAGCTCCCGTTGGTCCCAGCCTGTCTCCCCAGAGCGGGGGATGCTTCATTGAGGTTGCTGTAAATCCCGTTGGAATGGCTCATTTCAGACATTGAGGGCTCATCTGAAAGGGAAAGGGACTGGTTTTACTGGGAGAGCAATGGTCACGGCTGGAATACTCTAATTTTCCTGGGAGAGCAAAGCTCACGGCTGGAATACTCTGGTTTTCCTGGGGGAGCAAAGCTCACGGCTGGAATACTCTGGTTTTTCTGGGAGAGCAAAGCTCAGGGCTGGCAGCAGCCGCCCGGGAACTCCTGCAGGCTCTGG